GCGCATAAAATAAGGGTTTACTTTGAATCTGTCTCTGCTTTATATTTTGTCTGTGTCTGCTTTACATGTTTGATATTTTCCCCAACGTTTTCCCTGTATGGAATACAACTATATTAAGTGTTTTAATGTCCTTGACCACTAATTTTAACATATATCATCTATATCAATTATGGTTTGGTTTCAATTATTTTTCTCCTCATTATGAATTATATTTGCCTGCTTTTCTGCATACCTGGTAATTTTTTGTGGAGTGTTAGATATTGTGAATTTTACCTTTTTAAATACTGGATATTTTTATATTCCTTTAAGTATCCTTGGACTTTGTTCTGGAACACAGTTAAGTTACTTGGAAATAATTTCATCCTTTTAGGTCTTGCTTTTAAAATTTGTTAGAGCCAGGCACAGTTGGTCATGCCTGTAATCCCAGCACTTTGGGAGGCAGAGCCGGGAGGATCACTTGAGTCCAGGAGGTTGAGGCTGCAATGAGCCGTGATTGTACCCTTGCACTCCAGCCTGGGCAACAGAGCAAGACCCTGTCTCACAAATAAAAAATAGATAAAATAAAATTTGTTAGGCATCACAGACCAGCATTTAGTCTAGGGTCCCTACTATGAAGGCAAGACTTTTCTGAGTAGCCTCCAGAATGCTCTGTGAATTGAGATTTTTTATCCTGGCTAGGGGGAATGAGGGCTGTTCACAGCCCTTTTTGAGCTATAGGTACTGCAGTCTCTATTCCTTTCAGATCGTTTTTTCCCCTGGTCTAAGGTAGTTTTCTCATATGCATGCACCAATCAGTGCTCAGCTGAAGACTTGAGGGGAACCCTATGCAAATCTCCATATCCCGTTTCTGTGCTGCTCTCTTCTACTTGGTACTCTGCCCTGCCAACTCTACCCACCTTGGTCAACCCAGACTGTCATCGTTGTCTCCTCAACTCAGGGAGTTCACCAGGCTCTAAGTGGATTTCCCGTCTGGGCACCATGGCCTAGAAATTCTCCCAGGGCCTGAAGCTCAAACATTTGATGGCTTACATCAGTTGCTTGTCTTCTGTCAGGGATCATTGTCTTTCTTTGCCTGATATCCATTGTCTTCAAATACCATCATTTATATGTTCTATCCAGTGTTTTTTTGTTTGTTTGTTTTTTGAGATAGGATCTTACTCTGTTGCCTGCGCTGGAGTGCAATGGCATGATTTTGACTTACTGCAACCTTGACCTCCGGGCTCCGGTGGTCCCTCCACCTCAGCATCCTGAGTAGCTGGGACTACAAGCGTACACCACCATACCCAGCTGCTAAGGTTTTGTATCTTTTATAGAGATGCAAATTGTTGACCCAGCTGGTCTCGAACTCCTGGGCTCGAGCCACCTGCCCACTTTGGCTTTCCAAAGTGCTAGGATTACAGACATGAGCCACTGTGCGTGGCCTTGTCCAGTGTTTTAATTGTTCCTGGTGGCAGGTAATAAATCCAGCCCCTGTTACTCCATCTTGGCTAGAAGCAGAATTCCCTTCATTACATGTTTAAGATAAAGAAGTTATTAATTAAATATTCACGTGTAATTTATTCTACAAGTTTTTATGGTCTCATTTTTATATTTAAATATTTATTTCTTCATAAAATAATTTTAGTCTGTAATCTGTGTTTTCCCCCCAAATCCATAGCACTTAGCTTTATTCACATGGAAGCCAAAATATTCTAAAGTTTATAATGTGTTTTGGTGATTGAAAATATTTTAATTATCATAAGTTTAGTTCATAGATCTTTTTGGTTTTCTTAAACACAGTCTCATAATTTGTGTTTTATGCATAGTCTCCAAAAAGGCGTATCTTTGATTTAATCCATTGTGTCTTTTTTTGTTGTTCTCAGACATAAGCAATAAAATCAAAACACTTTTTGAACTTTTTGTTTTTTGAGATGGAATCTCGCTCTGTCCTCACCAGGCTTGAGTACAGTGGCACGATCTCGGCTCACTGCAACCTCTGCTTCCCGTGTTCAAGCAATTCTCCTGCCTCAGCCTCCCTAGTAGCTGGGGCCACAGGAACACCACCACGCCCAGCTAATTTTTGTATATTTTTAGTAGAGATGGGGTTTTACCATGTTGACCAGGATGGTCTTGATCTCTTGACCTCATGATCTGCCTGCCTTGGCCTCCCAAATTGCTGGGATTACAAGCGTGAGTCGCCACTCTCGGCCACTTTTTGAGTTCTTATTTTGTGCTTTCCTTTACCTGATTGACAAATAGCTGGATTTCAGTTACTTTCCCAGTAGTACTGATGTAGTAACTTCATGCTTGATTATTGGCATCCATGGATTGGCAGGATGACTGCCTAGGACAGGTGCATTGTTGGCGGAGGGATTCTTTTTCCCATATAAACCTTCAGTGGTTCCCCTTTCCCTCAGGATAAAGTCTAAACTTCTTAATATGGCTTAAAGGGCCTTTTGCAGTTTTTCTTGGCTCACCACCAGCTTCATGTGTTCTCCTTCCAGCTCTCCCATACAATTCATATTGAATGAACTAATTTTATTTTCCCTAAAAAGGCATGCTTTTTCACGTCTAAGTCAAAAACAGGCTGGGTCACCCTATAATATCCTTATATTAAAAAACAATTGCTTTCCCCTCATAATCCAATCAGTTACAACCATTTTACCATTTGTGTCCTTATAATTTAGTGTCTATAAGTCCATTTGACTCCTAAGCCCTTTAAGGACAGGGACCACATCCCATTCTACCTCTAAAACTCAGTACAGGATATGGCAGATAGTGAGCATTCAGCAGTATTTGTTGAATGAAAGAATGAGTTGGGGAAGGGGGTGGATCCTTAGGTTGATGATCTATGTATATTAGTGAAATGACTAGACTAACTCTATGAAGTAATATATGTTGTCACCTATGGCTGCTATGTCTCAAGAAAAAAATACCTCTTAGCACTATCAGTTTTACTTCTTCAATTAATTACTTTCTTTTTCCTCTTCTCCTAGCATGAGACCCACTGGCCCATGTTTTGAAAAATAGTTTTATTGACCAAAGCCAAATTTCTGTCTTGGTTATCTAGCTGGTCAAGGAAGAAACACAGACTATCCTGCAATAAGTTGAAATGTTGGCATAAATAAATGATTATCTGGGTATGAGGGCAGAGGTTATTTAAAATGAAAAATATAGATGATTTTTAACATTTCTATATTTTTCAAAAAATAAAAACGTCTATGTCAAATAAATGTATGTAACTATTGACAGATCAATATGAACATATCAAAATGATACCCTTTTATTAATAGAAACTTTGATTTCAGAATGTTTTATGTAGCAGCAGAATAACTTGCCTCTTTACATGGGCATTTAGCCTAGCCTACAAGTGATAGTAATTTCTTCTAGTAGTCAGTAAAGAATTGTTTAATTGCCTGTATTTCTATATGAATATACCACATGTCAATCAAGAGCATGGGCTTTGCTGTTAGATCTGAGTTTTAATTGCGGTCCTGACAAATACTGGCTTTCTGACCATGTGGAAGTAGTTTAGCCCATGAAAGTCCTAGTTGGTTCTATAAAATTAAGATAATAAAGTCATTATATTATGAAGCTATTGTAGGGATTAAAGGAGATAATATATGTAAGGTTTTAGTGCTGCCTGGCACATAGTATCGATTAATAAATACCAACCATTATTATTTCAACATTAATTACACCAAAATGAATTTTAGTAATATCTCTATAATATAATTTACATTCTATACCCTTCACTCACTTAAAATGTATAATTGAATGGTTTTTAGTATAGTCACAGTTATGCAGTCATCACCACAGTCAATTTTAGGACATTTTCATCACCCCGAAAAGAAAGCCTGTACCTTTTAGTTATCACCCTCCAAATCCCCCATCTCTAAGTAACCAATAGTCTACTTTCTGTCTTTATAGATTTGCCTATTCTGGAAATTGTGTGTGTGTGTGTGTGTGTGTGTGTGTGTGTGTGTGTGTGTATGGAATCATACAATATATGGTCTTTTGTGACTGGTACTTTCATTTGGCATAATTTTTACAAGGTTCATTCATGTTGCAGCCTGTACCAATACTTCATTCCTTTTTATTGCTGAATAATATTCCATTATATGGATATACCACATTTTGTTTATTCTTCCACCAGTTAATGGACATTTGGGCTGTTTCCACTTTCTGGTTATTATGAATAATGGTGCTATGAACATTTGTGCGCAAGTTTTTGTGTGAACATATGTTTTCATTTCTTTCGTGTCCTTAGAAGTGGAAACTCTGGGTCAAATGGTAACTCGATATTTAAGTTTGTTATGAACTGCGGGGCTGTTTCTAAAATGGCACAGCCACCAGTAGTGTTGGAGGGCTCTATTTCTCAGCATTTTCATGAACATTTATCTTACTTTTTGACTATCACTATCCTAGTGAGTATGCAATGGTATCTCACTGTGGTTTTAATTTTCGTTTCTCTAATAACTAATGATGTTTCAGGATCTTCTCATATGTTAATGGTCATTTGTGTATCTTTTTGGAGAAATGTCTATTCAAATCCTATGTCCATTCTGTTTTTTTTTTTTTTTTGACAGAGTTTTGCTCTTGTTACCCAGGCTGGAGTGCAGTGGCGTGATCTTGGCTCACTGCAACCTCCGCCTCCCAGGTTGAATCAGGTTCAAGTGATTCTCCTGCCTCGGCCTCCCGAGTAGCTGGGATTATAGGCATGCGCCACCACAGCCAGCTAATTTTTTGTATTTTTAGTAGAGACGGGGTTTCTCCATTTTGGTCAGGCTGGTCTCAAACTCCCGACCTCAGGTGATCTGCCTTCCTCAGCCTCCCAAAGTGCTGGGATTACAGGCATGAGCCACTGCACCTGGCCGTTGTCTGTTCTTTATTTGGGTTTTTTTGTCCTTTTGTTATTGAGTTGTGAGACCAAGAGGTTTTTTAATATTTGCATGTATTTGTATTGCCACCAAGTAAAACGTGTTAGAAATAATTTAATGGCAAATCTTATTTTTCTACAGGTACTGAAGATTTACGCCCCCCCAAAAAAATTGTCAATGAGAAATAAAGCTAACTGTGATATCAAAAAGCAGAGTGCCTGCTCTACTGGCCATCATGCGTAAAGGGGTGTTGAAGGACCCAGAGATTGCCGATCTATTCTACAAAGATGATCCTGAGGAACTTTTTATTGGTTTGCATGAAATTGGACATGGAAGTTTTGGAGCAGTTTATTTTGTAAGTACTTAAAAGAGTTGTTTAGATAGATCAGATTAAGAAAGGTTGGACTCTAGGCCTGGCATGGTGACTCACACCTGTAATCCTAGCACTTTGCAAGGCCAAGGTGGGAGGATCGCTTGAGGTCAGGAGTTCAAGACCAGCCTAGGCAACATAGCAAGACCCTGTCTCTACAAAAAACTAAAATAAAATAAAGTTTGAACTCAACATGTTCTCTACACATAGCTATTGCTCGTAAAATAAGCTTGGTTTCAGTGATTTTTCTATAAATTAAATGATATCTACAGTAGAAGCAAATAGTCATTGCTGAAAAGCCAGTTCCAGAATCCTAGGCTTTATTCAATTCAGTGGTATTTATATGAACTGACTCACCTATTAAAGTAGTATAAGAAAGTTAAGAGTTTTGATCAGGCGCGGTGGCTCATGCCTGTAATCCCAGCACTTTGGAAGACCGAGGCGGGCAGATCATGAGGTCAAGAGATCGAGACCATCCTGGCTAACACAGTGAAACCCCATCTCTACTAAAAATACGAAAACAAAAAATTAGCCAGGCATGGTGGCGGACACCTGATGAGGTCAAGAGATCGAGACCATCCTGGCTAACACAGTGAAACCCCATCTCTACTAAAAATACGAAAACAAAAAATTAGCCAGGCATGGTGGCG